CTTTGTATTCTGGATCTTCCTTTGAGCCTCGGAACGTGTACTTAGTAATAATATCACCTTTTCTACAGATACACACTAAATATAAGCATTTTTAATGATAACCATCTTTTTATTCTTTATTTACAAAGGAAAGTGCTTGATGTAAACTATTCTCAAAACCTGTTTCTTCTAAACGGTGTGCTCGAAATGTGTCTCACGCATTTATTTGTGATACTGAATGCTATATTGTGTGTCCTGAAATGTATTTTTGTACTAATAGACGATTTATTATGGCACACCGGAAGACTCTTTTTTCTTTAGACAATATAACACAGCTTTGACTGGTCATTAGCTATTCACATGTGGCAGAGTTTGTTCCCTTTTCAACACAATTTCCAGTATGCCACTATTAAAAAATAAAATCATTTTTAAAATACACTGTTGTAATTTTATTGTGGATTTTCGTAGTTGTAGCAGCAATACAAAAAGCATTTTGCATAGAGATTACAGTGTCCCGTTGTATAGTAGCAAGGGGACTTTGAAAATGTGTCTCTGCGACCGCACACTGCAGTATAATGTGTAGTCCACTTGGTGGCCTGCAGATGGCGCAAATGCTTCACTGTGCAGATTCATTTACAATGTTTATTGCGTTTGGCGATTATAAAACGGATTTAATACTGTAGCTTTAATCGATTGGTTAAACCAGGCCCAGCCAAGTGGTCCCATCTACTCCTTGAATGCCCAATGAAACTGCATGCTTTGTTTAAAGAAATAATAAAAAGTTAGTGAGACATGCATTTTATTTCAGTCAGAATTGCTTAACACTATAGAAAGGTTGTTGTTGTTTTTTTTGTTTAGAAAGTTATTATTTTACTATGAGGCAATTGTTGGGAAAAGGGAATGATAAATGTATAGTTGCCCAAACTTTTTTTTTTCCGTGTATCATACTTTGAAATCGACAGTTTTCCTCTGTGACTGCTGTCATGTTTACTTACGTAATGATTTGTGTGAGACAGAGCTATCTTAACTATATATTAACTATAGACCTTGCAAATGTTACATGACCCAAATATGGTAATGGTTGTATCTGTGTATATTATGGCATGTTTAACATACTTTCTTTTAAGGAGCTTTGACATTGACATCTTTCAAAAACGCAAACTGGAATTGAACAGGTCTGGTCATTTTACTATTTTCTCCAACCATGTAAACAAATGATCAATTTAAATCAGTACAGTCTGCATTTTAATGTATTAGGCAGCTTGTGTAAAATACATTTATTTTAAAACGTACAAAACGTACAAAAGTACGTTTTGGTCATAAATGTTGCCGATGATATTATATAGATTAAATTCAATAGATTTTATTCGGTCAACTTTTCTCCTCCTCAAATGTGATTGGCCGATCAGTGTTTCAAGCGCACTAACAGCGTCGGGCGTCTCATGCCTTGTCCAAATACACACACTTGTGGTCTTTGCACTTGACCACTTATATGACGTATTTCCTGTATTTGGCCCAAGTGTTCAAGTGAGCATGAAGACCACAAGTGTGTGTGTACAACTTTTCATTACCTGATGGGACACACTTGTAGTGTTGTAAAAACGCAAAGTGTTTACAGAGTTTTATTATTATTTTCAATACATTGCCTTTTAAAATCAACTTCTAAATGTCTGTTCAGTAGTCCCTATAACATGACAATTTTAATTTGTGGTGCTTCTAATTAAGTGATAGAAAGCAGTTGCAAATGTTGTACAAAAATAAATATACTAATCTTTGCAGCAATAAAATGTGTAGCACTTTGTTTTACTACCAAATTATATGTAATATCTTATTATTAATAATATTTAACTTACATTGGAAAGGTTTCCGTGACCTCTCGCGCGATCTTGGCAAAAAGTCTCACGATTTATTTCCAGAACATGATGCATGATGGGATACACTAACCCTTGAATACCGCTACGGAGCGGTATTCGAGATAGTGTGGGTTTAGTGTGCGTTAAAGGGATGGTTCACCCAAAAATGAAAATTTGATGTTTATCTGCTTACCCCCAGGGCATCCCAGATGTAGGTGACTTTGTTTCTTGCGAAAAAGGAATAATTCGCAAAACTGCAATGGAAACGGCTTTTTCGCATTTACAGTTCACATGGCGTATGTAAAAAGTCATATGATCATTCTGCAGTGTACTATAACCTCCAAGAAATACTTCATAAGTGGCGGCGCTCCAGTATAAAGGGGCTTTCCCTACCATTAATGCTTAGACAATTTACACTGCACACGTCTGCGGTGCAGTGTGGGTCTGATATGGTCACTGAATCTGACTGCGGCCACTCAGTGCTTGTGTTTATATTTTTATACAGTCTATGGTTTATTCCAGCCGTGCCACGCA